ACACAAATCTACAAAAATGAATTCCAGTTTCTGAGCAGGAAAATGGAGTTTGGATATTTGAAAAAATAACTCAACAAAATTTAATTTGTAGCTTGTGACAAAATGCTCATATCTCATTCATGACGACCGAAGACAACAATAAATATATTCATAGCCTAAGGTGCAACACAAGGATGACGTCTACAGTCCAGAATTTTTACAACTTCCGGTAATGATAATGAGATTCCAAAAACCTAAACATAATAGTGTTGATCTAAGTTAGGTGGTCAGAATTCAACCACCATAAAGTGAATAAAAACAAAAAACAACCAATTGTCAATAGAATCAATACCAAGAACTACCGCTAAAAAAATCAGAAATTGACAATGAGAGATATTTAAGTAAAACAGTAAAACTTTCACTTCAATGCTGCACGAAAAATTTGTAGAAGAGTACAAAGCAGTTTGGAAGTTGAGATTATAAAAAGTATGAAATCCTACAGTTCTCAGAAATGGGTCCCGAATAATAAACGTAGTTGGTGACTTGAATGAATACTTACGAAAGAAATCTGGGGCATCACCATCGAAAAAACAATATAGTGAGATTAGAAAAATAGTAAACAAAGAGATATGAGAACACTGACTGCAGCGAGCCTAATCTAATGATTAGGAAAACTGCTTGTAAGAGAACGTTGCACTTGAGAGGATTTACGATAAAAAGGATTTTACTAAAGTTTTAAACAAATATTTGGCAAAATCAAAAAACTCAGAAGAAATTTGTAGCAAATAACAGACACAACATAATGTTGGCCTTCTCATATTAACAGATTTCCACTGTTGTGTATTCAAAGTTCTTCGTGTATCACTTTTCAACAATTTTTTGACACTTTTTATTATACATTTACAGATGCATTGAAGTTTGTAGTTCGTTAATGCTTGGTTTACGCATCCTGTGTTATTTTTGCATTTATTTGAACAAACTTCTCTTAAATCTACTAAAATCGTTAGAAGTAACACATTTCCCGTAGTGGAAACAAGGAAATCTCAGGATGGTTAATAATTTTTAATAGTTAACAAGGAAAGGCAACGATTCACAAACAACCAGGAAAATTTTATATTGTTCAAATGTTAAATATACAGAGTGTGGCAGATAAAATTAGGAGACCTCTTATTGCGACGATGACGGTCCGGAATTTCGCCGATCAAGTGTGGGGGTGGCGTGCCTCGGTGTTAAGCCGTGAGCCGACTAGTGCTGCTGAATAGAAACACGTCTGCCCGACCTGGGCTTATGTGGTCACCTACACGCCAACGGGGGTGCAGCCTTCGATCGGGACCCGCGGTGCTCGGGCGCCAGATCCCCCTCTCCGGAGAGAGGGAGGGAGCACCGGGGTTGCTGTAAAGCCGAAGACACGTATCTCCAGGTGATCTGGTGAGCGCCCGAGGAAACAAGAAATAAAACGGAGGAAAATTTGAAACAATAATCGGGTTTTTATTCCCTACAGGTACACGGCAAAAAAAATCGCGCGGGGGCGGTACTGCGACCTGAGAAGGAAGCGCGGCGATGGAAAACGACGCATGCTCGACGGTTTCGGTTTCTTGCGGTAACGAAAAAAAAAGGTGACGGCGGCACGGGTTTTTTCGCTCGGGGGCGGCGATTCGAAAACGGTACTCAAACGGTACTTACGATCGGTTCTTACAGGGGCTCTGCACTTTTTACAAACTACATCTTGAAAAATAGCCACAGCACCGGGTCAGACACTTCGAAATCCGTCAAGGCTTCAAGAAGGAATCCCCTTTTTCCGGCGGCGTTGACGCGGCGATCGCGGATTTACCCCCGGCTTTCCGTACGCGTCTTGGTTTCCTGTCCGCGAAAATTCGCTTCGTTACAATATCTTAGTTAACAGTTAGATATATTAAAATTCATTAAACGCCATTCTTATGTCGGTGCGACGCCAAGCCATGTTTTTTTTTTAATTACAACGTATAGATTTTGCAAATTTCAAAGGGGAGGAGTCCGTACAAATGCGGACAATATAAAAAATATTTAAAACATACATATGACGGGAAAAATGTAGTCTCAGTAATATGCTTATCTTCGAGTATTTATCTTTATAAGTACTTCGCAAGAATTTGACTATTGGCACGTTCAAACAACAAGCATTTGTCTCTTTCGAACACAAGAGAGGATCGATTAATTAAGCCACAATGGAGCAAAATGTTTCGGATACTGTTTTGGGTAACCAGCTGATCTTATGACAATTATTATTTTATTATTATTAAATATAAGCGAACGGGACATAACTGTATTTTTATATTTTCGACATGATGGGACAAACCGCAGCAGTTTCGGAGATTACCTATATAATTAAAATTCAGATAGACGGATGGACAGACAAACAGACAGACGGAAACGGGCGACCTATTTTTTCGTATTCCAGGGATCATTAAACGCCGAAAAACATTACAGTGGCAACTCGTCCGACATACTCGATTACGATACTTCCTTAGCTTACTCTCGGGAATTAGAAATTAAAGTTTAGTGAAATAAAGCATAATTTCACCAAAAATGAGTAAATCTGTGGCAAAAAGGTCATTTAAGCATATATTAGAACCATCGTCCTTCACAATAAACATAAAACTTCTTATTAATTCGAGATTATTATATAATAACGTATGACGAGTTAAAAAGAGCCAAATCTTCCCAATTTATTTTTTAATCTTCTAAATCAGACGCCACAAAAAAATATGTAAGGATCTTAAATCTGGACTGCGAGCTGGCTATCGAGTAGGGCCTCTATTATGAATCTAATTTTCATGTTTTTAGAATTAAAAATTAAATTAAAAGTGAGAAATTTTCAAGTAGTAGATGATCCATTAAAAATGTACAGGGTGTTACAAAACTGGTCCACTGTCCACTAACCCTAGGATAGGTTGTATCACTGTTTTTGAGCTAAGAAAAAATAATTTAAAAAGTCATTGGACCCCAATGTAGAAATAATAGGACCTCAAAGTTTAATTTTTCTTCGAAATATTTGACCATATCGTACTAGTTAGTGTTGAGTAGATACATGAAATCGATCTAATTTTCATTGTTCAAAATAATTTTTGGAAATATTATCCATAGTTTTTTCTTTTTATAATATTACAAAAACTTAAAAATTACTGAGAAAGGGTGGCTAATTTTTATTTTTTTTTTGTAATCTGTCTATTATAAATCGTAAGCAAACGTCAAATTTATCAAAGGAATTTTTAATGATTTTTCTCGAAGTTAACTGTACCATTAAGTTAGTGCGCCGGTTTTTAATCACTCTATATATGTTGCAATTAAAAAAAAACAACTTCGCATACCAAATTAAGTTTCACCTTGCAAGTCAAAGACAATGGCGTTTATAAAATTTCAATATATTTATTCCTTTTCAAGATATAGGCGGCGAAATTTTATTTGGGACACTTGTATAGAGCGACGAGATATTATGAATTTTTGGTATTTACGGCTAGAATCTATAATTTAAGTATTATTTTCAAATGAATAGGCTGGTGGCTTTAAGGGTTACAGACGACAGTTATATATTTTTTTTTAATGGAACACCCATTCATAAAAAAAGGAAGAAAACCATGCGAGGGTGTTTTTTTCATCAATATATTTGCATTGTTAAGGACAATATTATAATATTTGAAATTCTCCAACTTCGCCATTTGTAAAGATAGGAGTTTTAGAAAGTTTTGGTTCAAACTTGTTTATGCTGATCTGGTGATTTCTAAATAAGGCACCTGTATTTTTAACACCTTGGAGCTTATCTATTACAAAAAAATATATATTGAAAACTTGATATATAATATAATCGGTTTCTTTTTTAAAAAGCAATCTAAGTCAATAAAAATATGTAAAATGTTATACTTGGGAAAATGCAGTATTGTGATTTTCAAAGCTGAGCTGTGATATTGAAAATAATTTTAAATTGTAACCCTAAATGAGTTTTATCAAACTGTATCAAATATTTTTAGCTTCGTTTCATAGAGAACGAATAATCCCCCACAGACAGACCGTTGTGACACAGTGCATATTATGATATGATTTAACTGGAAAGGTTTAGTGGTTCCTTGCACTGGTGTTAAGTACATAAGCCAAACTGTCATAACTCATAACCGTGATCAATTTTTAAAGGTTGGCCTTCAGATTCTGGTTTTATACGGATACTTTACACATGCGCTTAAAGGCCGTATCTTCACATCTGGGAATGAATTGATAGCTTGCAAAACATACTCGCTAATTACTCCGGATTTAAACTCCACTGTTTCCTTAAATTACCCGCATAAATTGTTTCACCTGAAGGTTTTATCACACTAGAAGTTGTTACTAGATAATGATTCGAAATGAACTCTCACACCCTGTAGGTTTTCTAGTTTTGTTTAATTCGCATTGTTTTGTATTATTTGTAAGGAATAGCTGTTAACTGGATGCATTTTTGCTCTCGGTTTGTAAAAATGCGGCAACAAAATCTAAAGCTTGAAATTTCCTTGAAAAGTTGCCAAAACAGTAATTGCCCTCTCATTTTACAAGTCAAACTAAAGATGCAAAACTATCACCAAATTAAAAACAGACATGGATCGTTGATATCAATATTACTGGAATTAAAAATATCAGCAAAATTGATAAAACAGTCAAAAATTGTCTCCCGAGTAAACAAATTAGATTAGGGACTACCTGATCTGGGTGTCCCAGTGAAAAAAAATGCACAAAAAACGATAGAAAGAAATGTAATTCCAGTCCAGATTTATCAAAAAGCATAGAAAGTGGGCTAAGCGACAGTTGTAGCAAATTCTTCACCATTAAGTAAGTCATCTATGAAAATTAGTATATCAAAAATCTATAAGCTGTGCTCTACTCTTCTTTTTTCTGCTGTAAGAGTATATCAAAGCGAATTTTTTGAGATATAATTTGCAAAGCTGAATATCAAAATGCATAAAACGTCAAAATCTCTTATTTTAAATTCGCTTCTACTCTATCGGTAGTTGCTATACCTTGCACTCTATCAGCTCTGGAACCAGCCGGAGCCACCGTGCCGCGACTTTCCAAGACCGAAGCTCTCTGCGGCCGCTCTCCTTCGACGCTCTCTTCATTGCTGCGTGAGTAAACGCTTTCGATGGACGCGACACACTTGAGCTTCATATCCCCACGCTTGAAGTGCTTATGACGCACCACGAATTCGAGGCCCAGGATGGTTGTTTCGAGGCCCTCGCGCCCTGTTATGATCTTCTTCTGCGGCTTCAGGAACTTGGGATCGGCCGGCTCTCCATTGATCATCCATTTCAAATTGGCGGCAGGTTTTGACCGGCCCGATGTGCAATTCACACGGACCGTATCGCCAACTTGATAGCGGGGACGGCCACCTGATATTCGAGGACCCTCTTCTGGTAATGCTGCGAACAGAAAGAACGCCTTAATGGTGCGGACCACGACCCGATAGTTTTAATAAAGTTTTACGCCGACGGCTGGGACGACGCGAGTGTGCTTGGAATGGGCTGCGTTTTCGAGGTGGCTGGTGATTTTAAAAGTAGATTTATTGGGTTAGTTAGTGGAAGAGGGAACCTTTAAGGGGAATTTCGGCGAGGTTTGCTCAAGGAGGCTCGAATATTATATAAACAACATTAGGTTTGCAAGTTTACATATAGAGGGAATAAATGATAATCTTAAGTGAGGCGGCGTGTGGCGGCATAGCATAACTGCAAATTTCTATATTTTTTTCTTAATGTGGCAAGCTTATTCCTATAAAAATAACTATACCGGCATGCGATCGTGGCGACACGAACATTTTGACTTATTTCCATCATTAATCTTACTTTATATTAATTTCACATTTGTTTTTATCCACTTCTGGTCACCGGTAAGCACCGACATTTTTTTCTCCTCACTAAAAACAGTCGGAAATGCCATTACCTTTTTTTGCTTAAGTGTAATCTGGTATTTTACAAATAATATACACAACTATTTTAAGAAACAAAATAGAGCTGAAAAGAATTTATTTTTACAGAAAAAACGTTAAAGGTAATGACTCGACAAAACAGAGCAACATCGCTTTATGGACCTTGGCCTGTGAACATGAAGGCCAGGAATTTACGTTGGCGATTATTGTTCTGAAAATTTGCCTTAAACCCACACAAGACAAGTATGGGGAAACAAAAGACCGTCTATAAACCACTAAACAGATGAAGAAGTATCTAAAGCACAACTGTGGTATTTGCATTTTTTCGGCGAAAAACTTGAAGTGACAACATTTCACTGTAGCCTGCGAGCTAAATAATGCGAATGACCTCGCTCAGCTCCGTTGACTAATGTACTAAAGCTCCAAGAATTTACACGCATGAGTGCGGGGGCTAGTTATGAATTATTGTTCTTTTAATATTAATTTTATGTCAAATTTGGATAAGTACAGGAAAAGCGCTATTGTGGCAAGAGAAGATTACTTGACTCCACATGAAAAACTGGTGGTGTAGTTAATAACCATTTAAACATTTAACCAAGCGATTAAACCCTAGACAAAAACGTAAGTTTTTCTTAATTTTTTTAATTTTTGTCAAATTTTTATCATGGTTCCGAATACGTGGCATTACGTTATTTATATACACATCAAGATGATTTACATGTATACATATACATAAAAGACTAACCATCCCAACAAAAGAAATCCATGAGATAAATAAAGGTACCCGCTTTGTTGTGGTATAAATGAAATTAAATTTTCTTGTACAGAGTGTTATATATTTTTTAATTATCAAAATTTTCAAATAACGTAATTCCAGTTTTATCAAACGGAACATCTATTTTGTTAGTGCGTCTTATTCTATTTTTAAATAAGTGTTTTTTACATCTAAAGTTGATGGTTAGTGCGACTTTTTACTTTTTTAAGAGACACGTCGACGTATTAGGACAATAAGAATAAAATAGAGTAAGATACAAGAATAAAATACAGGGTGCTTCATTTGAAAAAACTGAAATATCGATATTTAAAGTATAGATTTTTTTAACACTCATACACTCAATATATTAAATTTTTATTTAACTGACAACATAACAAAATACGTACCTCTATTTATCCCTCCACAAAATATTGTAAAACAGACTTTAAAAGTAACTCTATTGAAATTTTTTCTGAACTCTTCCATTGCCACAAAAATTTAAGTAAATTGAAATAACGTGGCAACGTCGTATCGGAATTTCAAAAGTAAACTATGTTTACAATGCTCAGAAAGAGGCTAATGAGAATATATAAAAATATGTAGTGACTCGTTTAAAAGAACTAAGTTATGTGTTACGACTTAAATACATAACATTCTTCTAGTTAAAAATCATTTCCGAACATAGTCCTCAAAGAACCGTACAACTTTGGTCTCAGACCCTTTTTTCTATCCCTAATAGTTAATGAGATATCAAGTATCGCGCACTTAGTGACTTACTCTGTGCATTCAAGAAAAATTAGTGTGATGAGTTTAGATTTTATTTGTGTATCGCTTAGAAGAAAAAAACCCGTCGAGGTTTTTTGTCACATAAAGTTAGTTTTTTGGTCAAAAATGTTACGAAAAAAATGTGGTTCGGCAATAAACTACACGAATCGACATTTTAAATTATCTTTATAAACATTAAGGATTTACTCAGCAAACTTTTGAGGGTAGGTCTTCAAAATTTTCGTAGGAATAGAAAATTTTGGTAGGAATAGAGAAACGTAACGATCTATCAAGCAGCTCATAGAATCACAAAACATGTCCCAAGTTTCAGTGCAATTGATTGAATGGTGTTTATGATAAATTACAAGATTTTGTTGTATCACTTTTATTTATTTCCGAAGCGTAAGTTAAGGAAGAATTCCAATAGGATCCCTGGGGCCACTAGCTACTTTCACGTCACTGTCTGTTATCTGTATCGATTTTTATTAGACAGATAATTTTATTAGTCTAATAATTTTTATTAGACAGAAATTGCCACCCAATTACGATAATTAATCAAATTTCTTGAAGAAATATACTATCGTGGTCTGGATGGTCTGTTGAAGTTACTACGCTTTCCATTTTGCTCAAGATAAGTGCATTGTTTAGATCGGTTGTGTTTATTGTCCTCAGGCTTGAGGCTTTTTACCTTCCACTATCAGTTTCATTGCTTGCGCTAAGCTGATAGCCTATATAGCCGTTTTTCTAACACCATATACGAGGGACGTGTAGTTTATAGTACGTTGTATTACGTTAGATCTATTGCTGTAATTTTTGCTAGCACGGCTTATTGTTTGCTTTGTTTCTTTTTGTTTCCTTGCAATGGCTGATAACTGCTTAAGTTGTAGTAGAAAATTTGGATCTCGGGAGGCGCGTATAACATGTTTTGCTTGTAAAAAAATCTTTCACGCGGCCTGTGCCAACATCGCAAAATTTGATTTCCAAAGATTTACTGATGGTAACTCCTCATGGCTTTGTAAGAAGTGCTCCGATAGTGGTTCTGGAGATAAGAATTCGCAGACCTCAACACCTGAGCCGTTAAATACTACTCATTTCCATGCTATCATGAATAAGATTCAGCAATTATGCAAGGAAGTTTCCACTTTAAAAACTCCTCAAATGGCACTATCTAATGATGTTGCTAAATGCAATGCAACACTTGTAGCGCAAACAAAAATTTTACAAACTCATACTGAGCAACTGACTGCCGATGAAAAATCAATTGCTGACCTTCAGTCGGCCAATAAAGACCTTTCGGTACGTGTTGATGGTGTCATTGACACATTGGAATCATTTAATCGGGATGTGAGGGCTTCTCCTTTTAGTGCTGACTTAGCTTCTTCAACAGATTATGTCATAAGTGAAGCTGTGGAACAAGCTCCCAGATCCAATAACATTATTATCTATGGTATCACTGATACAGACAACACCGAGCTTGACAAGGCAGTTGTTTCCAGACTATTAGACTGTTTTGCCATCGATCTACTTACCGTCGCCTCTTTTAGCAGGATGGGCAATTTCTCCACGTCAGCTAAGAAGCCTAGAGCTTTAAAAATAATGTTTACCAACTCGCAAGTGGCTAGAACCATTCTGATAAAGAGGGTGACATGTTTATCCAATACGGAGTTCTCTAAATTGCAATTATCAGATGATAAAACCCCAAAACAATTATCTTACTTTAAATCTTTGAGAACTGAACTGAAGAGTCGTCAGGAAAAATGTTAAAACAATATCACTATCAAATTCATCAAGGTGTTCCCAAAATTATTAATATTCCAAAAAACTAACTGCTGCTAGTGTTACTAAATTGACACGTACTTATACTAATCTTTGTTCTCTTCCAGCTAAATATAACGAATTCTAGCATATATTCAACTTTCTAAACCTTCAATAATTCTAATCTCCGAAACGTGGCTTCATCTTGATTATACTGATCCAATTATAACCATTCCTGGGTATACTATTTACAGGGCAGATCGCGCAGATTATAATGGTGGTGGTGTTTGTGCCTGTTTGAATAATTATATTATCTCGTCTTTTTTGGTGTCAACTGTTAATATTTCCACGCCTACTACTGAAGCATTATCGATATTATGCAAATCTTCTACCCTGTCCTTTGTAATCATCTGTGTCTATCGTCCCAAATACGCTACTGCTGAAGATGACGCCATTTTATATAATAACATCCATAATGAATTATTACAGTCAAATTGTCATAATCATTTCATATTTGGAGACTTCAACTTCCCTATGATTAAATGGGATACTGGTACCTGTCCGGATTCTGTAGGTCCTTCTAAATTTATTGAATTTCTTCATAATAACAATTTATCTCAACTTATAGACAGACCTACTAGACACAGAGACTGAGATACTCCCTCAACTCTTGATTTATTACTAACTAGTGATCCCAATTTGATTTCCACTCTCGATTTTGATCCTCCCATTGGTAAATCTGATCATGTTGTCGTTAAAGACCATCAGCTATAGCAATAAACAGAAAGTGATTGGGTATAAACGAGTGATACATTTTCCTAAAGTGGAGCGAGATAAAATGCGGTAAACTGGGAGACTTCGTTCTCACAACAGACTCTTCCTCATTGCTGGTGGTATTTTGTTGGTATCATTAATTCCTCTGTTACTTCCAACAGTAAGCTAAAACCATTTACCTACAACCCTGTTAAACCTTGGATTGATGATCCTGTTTTCAATCTCATTAAAGTTAAACGCAAATTATGGCACAAGTTTAAAAGAACTGGCTCCATAGGCGATTACAGAGCTCACAGAGCATTTTCCAATGAATTATCTAAAATGATCTTTAATAAAAAAAAAACATACGAGGAAAATCTCATATAATATAACAAAAACAATTTTTTTAAATATGTTAGATCGTCTTTAAGTTCCAAAGTTTCTCATCCTATACTTACAACGAATGATGG